TACCTTGTTCAACCTCGAAACGAGCTGCTCTCGGGGGCAACGACGACTCCGAAGATGGGTCGAACGAACACTCGACGTCGACGTCACTTTCGGCGGGGGGCTTGAATTTTCTTCTTCTTCTTCTTCTTCTTCTTCTTCTTGGTTTTTATTCGCTAAACTAGGCGAACTCGGCGGTAGTTGACGTGTTTTTGGCACGTACGACGATGCGTGCTGGGAGAGTGAGCAGAGAGGGCTGTTGCACCCTCTATTATACCCTGAGCAGGGATCCTCCGCCACCCGCCACCTAGCCAGCACCTCCTACCACCTGTAGGTTCGCGCCAGCACGAGGATATATATCCTACGTATCTACGGACGCCTACGTACCCGCTGCCACCCCCCCTTTTTATCCTCTGCTCCTACCTTTCGTCCGGCGAAAGTTCAGCAAAACGAAGGGGTATCCTCGAAACTTTTTTTTCTCTCCTGTCCTTTCTTTCTTTTTCTTTTTTCTGTTTTTCCTTTTTCGCTCGCGCTACCTAATTGCCGCAGCTGCGCCGCCGCCGCCGCCGCTGATTCTTCAGCCCGCTTCGCTTACGCAACGAATTTCCATCGATCCGCCTGCGTTACATTACGGAGATTGCCAGAAAATTTCTCGCCTGTTTCTTCAGCTGCTTCCGTTTGCGCGAGAAATGAAATACGGGCGAGCTACACCGTACAGAGTCCGAGATTGGTCGAACGACGTCGATTATCCTTCCTTTCGTAAACTCGAGCCGATTCGCGTCTTCGAATCCTGTCGAAACTTTTCTTCGCCTCTTTGCCAATTGATCGTCGTGATCTCGCGATTTTTCGCCTGCGTCGTCGTCGAGTTTCGAGTGATTTCTTCTTCTTTTTTTCTCTTTTTAGCGTTTCTTCCTTTTCTCGTTCGTTGTTCTGACGTTTTGACGTTCTAACGTCCGGACGTTATTTCCGATCGTCGAAGCGAGCCAACGAGGGGGCGGCCAACGATTAAAAACTGATGAAAATGTGCGTTCGTTTACATCCGAATCGCGATGGAAATGTCGCGCGTGCCTTGATTTATTCGCGTTTTCCGATTCGTTTCCATTAGCCCGTCCCTCTCTCTTGCCCGCCTAAAGTATCGTCGATCTGTTTCGAAAAAACATTCGGATCTACCGCTCGCTTCTACCGTTTGCCTTTGTCATTCTTTTCTCCTACTTCTCAGCGAATACCAATCCGCCAAACGCGACGATCTAGAATATTCCTAAAACGATTCATAATAATCTAGGATATTTTTAAAACGATTCATAATAATCTAGAATATCCCTAAAGGCTCCTGGAAGTTGCAAACTGCTCGTTTATTTCATTTGACAGGACGAAAGAAAGAAAGAGAGTGTTTGCTCTCGTACAAACGAGTGTCAACTCGTTGGTTTTTCAAAGAATGCTATATCTAGACGATTAGCTTCCAGATGATATACACTGCTCACAAAAATTAGGGGACATTTCATAATGAATGTGAAGTGCTAAGAGGAATTTTTTTTTTTTTTTTCATTAAACAAGAACAACTTTCTTGCGCTGGCAACTGGTTCGCGGACCATAACGAGTGACCAAACCGTACACAATAATTCGTCGCTTTCTTTTTGAACTCGTCAGTACATCACGTCGGATAGAAATGATTAAGAAGTGATAAATTTATTACTTATTTTGTCTCTCGGTTGTATTTAAATATACTAAAAAATTCTCGACGTCATTTCAACACAAGAGATTAACCCCTTGCGGACCTTAACGAGTGACCGAACCGCATACAACAATTTGTCGCTTTCTTCTTCGTTTGAACTCGACGGTATAATATCACTATAGATAGAAATTATTAAGATAAATGTATTACTTATTTTGCCTTTCGATTGTATTTAAATATACTAAAAAATTCTCGACGTCATTTCAACACAAGAGATTAACCCCTTGCGGACCTTAACGAGTGACCGAACCGCATACAACAATTTGTCGCTTTCTTCTTCGTTTGAACTCGACGGTATAATATCACTGTAGATAGAAATTATTAAGATAAATGTATTACTTATTTTGCCTTTCGGTTGTATTTAAATATACTAAAAAATTCTCGACGTTATTTCAACACAAGAGGTTAACCCCTTGCGGACCTTAACGAGTGACCGAACCGTATACAACAATTTGTCGGTTTCTTCTTCGTTTGAACTCGTCGATATGATATCACTATACATAGAAATTATTAAGAAGTGATAAATTTATTATTTATTTTGTCTTTCGGTTGTATTTAAATTTACTAAAAAATTCTCGACGTTATTTCAACACAAGAGGTTAACCCCTTGCGGACCTTAACGAGTGACCGAACCGTATACAACAATTTGTCGGTTTCTTCTTCGTTTGAACTCGTCGATATGATATCACTATACATAGAAATTATTAAGAAGTGATAAATTTATTATTTATTTTGTCTTTCGGTTGTATTTAAATTTACTAAAAAATTCTCGACGTTATTTCAACACAAGAGGTTAACCCCTTGCGGACCTTAACGAGTGACCGAACCGTATACAACAATTTGTCGCTTTCTTCTTCGTTTGAACTCGTCGGTATGATATCACTATAGATAGAAATGATTAAGAAGTGATAAATTTATTACTTATTTTGTCTCTCGGTTATATTTAAATATACTAGAAAATTCTCGACGTGCGTGTCACGTCGTTCCAGCGCAAGAGGTTAATAAAAGAAAAATCAAACGCTTTTTTTCTTTTATTGCTTCACATTCAATTTTGAAATATATCCCCTAATTTTTGTCAGCAGTATATTTGTTGTCTCGCGATCCACGCGTCGTGTTCTCTCCGCAAAAAGAGGAAGCGAGTTGCCGCGCGGGAGCAGGGGGAATTAGAGACGGACGATCGCCCCCTCCTCACTATTAATCGGTGTTTCGATAACGATGCTACATCGATGCCGACCAATCGCCGCTCCAAACTCGCAACAACAGCCCCCGTCGCCTTAGCTTATCGCTCTCGTTCAATTAACAGCCTCTCCGCGATTCTCCCTTTTTTTTTCTTTTCGTTTCTTTTTTTTTTTTTTTTTTTTTTTTTTTCTTTTTTGTCTCGTTCGATTGCACGCCCGGCAAGATGGCCGGGACTAAAGAGTCGTAATTCTATTTTCGCGTCTTCCTTTCCCCTCTGCGGATTCGTTTGCCTTTGGTCATTTCGATCCAAGATCAGAGGGCACCACAAATGATTCTAGATCTCCATTTCCCTTCAACGTGAAAGACTCGAGACCTTGCGCGTTTTCTGTCGCGTGTTTTTTGGGAACGAAGTGTCGAAGGAGGTTCGGAAGATTGACGCAATCAGGCGGAGGTGATTTGTGGGACGATAAACTCACGATCGCGATAATTGCCGAGATGCGCAGTTCCGAGAATTATCTCCGATGCGTAGTCCTCGTTTGCACGAGTGGAATCATACGGGATTAATCTTCTATAATCTTTTGGATTATCATTAATAAACGTTGGAATTAGCATCGGCGTCACGTTACCCTTAAAATTCGAATCGATCGGCTGAACTTGCATTCGAATGATCTAACGGTGCTGACTTCGAATCATTCGATACTATAAGTCTGTCGATAATCATCGTCCATCATACATAATTACGTTAATCTCTCTTCTCTTTGATCACAATCTAACAAACACGCGTGCCGCTGAAGAGAAATCGAAGGGACGTGCTTAGAATGAATGGCAAATCGAGTTTCGAATATCGGACAATTTACTAGCCAATCAGATGGTACGGCAAGAGTGATATTTTTGTGCCAACTACTTTCCACACCGCTGAATTTGTCAAAACCAACAAGAAGAATTTCCAAACTCGAGAAATAATACGCAGACCAGCGTGCGTAGTCGACTGCAATTATTCGATGGGAGTAGTTGATAAAAGTGACATCGAATCTACGAGGAAAACCATCAAGTGGTACAAAAAGTTTTTCTTTCCTACGTTGGACGTATCAGTTTTGGAATTTATATCGTTTGTGTAAATTCGAAACAAAGAGAGACATTTCGATCGTCGACTTTCGCCTGAACGTTGATGAGACGAAAATTTTGCAAAAGTATCGCGGTGACAATTTTGTTAACCCTTTTGCGCTGGCAACTGGTTCACGGACCATAACGAGTGACCAAACCGTGCACAATAATTCGTGCACGCTTTCTTTTTGACCGTCGTCGGTACGACATCACTGGATAGAAATTACTAAGTAATAAATTTATCATTTGTCGTTGCCTAGGTTATACTTAAATATACTTAAAACTGAGAAAATATTGCGATTTTGGGATTAAAAAATTCACGACCTGCGCGGCACGTCATTCCAGCGCAAGAGGTTAAAATTATTACCAAGTCTTTGGATAAAAATCGCCTCGTGCCGACTGCTAAGCATTTCCCTTCTATTTGTATCAATAGTTATGATCGAAAGAGCGCAGCAAAAAACTGCGTTGTTCGTTCTAAAAAAAGTGACAAACGACGAGAAAGTCGCTGTCATAAAATTTACTACGTAAGTTTATGTATTTACCCTCGTTTTGAAACATTTCGTACAAAAATCATTGATGAAGCATTGTTACTATAAAACGCGTTAAAGTACGATTACGCTCCCTACTCGGTATAGTTGTCCTGTACAATGGAGAACCTGTCGAAAGGTATGGTGCGTAGCGTCGCTCCGATTCTTGATACCAACTACTCGTTGCGTGAGCGTTTACCTGTACTCCCTACGCTGGACTGATCTCTCCCGTTCCTCCTTTCATTTTCCTTTTTTTCTTTTCCGGAGAGATGCTTCGCTCGTTGCAAGACAGCAATTCGACGCTCGTTTCCGCCTCGTTTAAGCTGCTAAGCTGGATCAAGGGATCGGAGCGTGACGCGAGGGGCAGACAACTGCGACTCTCGCCGCTGTTTGCTTTCAATTTCGACCGGTGTTACCTTTCGTTGACGTAACGTTTGGAAGAGCAGAAGGAGGCTAAACGCTCGTTTCTCGGTCGGTTTTAGATTGCTTTCGTGGACGATTTTCCGGTGACGGGGGATGTCGGACGAGGAGAGGAGCGAGGAGGAGAAGCCGTTCGCGGTGGAACGGGCGAAGACCGGACGCGCCAAGTGCAAGAAGTGCAAGTGCCCGATAGAAAGGGACGCCATAAGGATGGCCAAGCTGGTCGCGAATCCCTTCTCCGACGGCAAGATGAAGGCGTGGCACCATCTGAGCTGCCTGTTCGAAGTGTTCGCCAAGCAGAGGGCCTCCACCAAGAGGATAGACGACCCCGAGGAAGACGTGAGCGGCTGGTCGGAACTCTGCGACGAGGACAAGGCCACGATCCTTCGTAGAATCGAGGAGTTTGAAAATTCGTGTAAGATGTTTGACTGTTGAATGCAAGGTTGAACGTTGAAAACTCGTGTGTAAGATGTTTGAATGTCGAATGTAAGGCTGAACGTTGAAAATTTGTGCAAGATATTTGAACGTTGAGAGTAAGATTGAATGTTTGAAAATTCGTGTAAGGTATTTGAACGTTGAATGCAAGGTTGAATGTTGAAAATTCGCGTAAGATATTTGAACGTTGAAAATTCGCCCGATTTCTCCGAGTGACCAGCACCAGATCGAGTGATCTCGACGCCCGACGACGACGCATTTACCACGCGTTGACCGCCGCCGACGGCCGCCGATTCCGTCGTTCGATCCCCGAGCAGAGTCGAATTTGGTTTCGATAGGTTTTTTTCGCTCGGCAATAAAGAACGCTGAGTAGATAAAGAAATTCGCGCAATATCCATCGCGCGAAAAGACCCCGCATTCCCCCGTTCGGTGAATCGCTTATCGCGACGCGGCGGCGACGCGAGCGCGATCTTAATTGCCGTTCAATTAAATCCGGCGTGTACAAATTGTATCCGATAAATCATCGTCCGGGTACTATCGCCTATTAGAACGATCGGCCGGTCGATGATTTACGTTGCATTAAACTGGTTTCTCGTTTAGCGGCGATTATTCATTTAGCAGCCAGGCGAAAGACGATCGAGTCGATCTCACTGCCGATCTCTTTCTTCGTGTTGAGAGGACTTCGAGATTCTAGTGCGATCGAGTCTGATCTTCAACTCTGAGATTCGTGGAAAGGGGCAAACTTGATACAGTAGTGCCCACTTAACATCTTGCCACGCACGTCGAGAATTTTTTTTTATCCCAAAATTGCAATATTTTCTCAGTTTTACGTATATTTAGGTATAACTCGGGCAGAATAAATAATAAATTTATTCATCTTCTCAATAATTTTTATCTTATGATGTACCGACGAGTTCAAAAAGAAAGCGACGAATTATTGTGTACGGTTTGGTCATTCGTTATGGTCCGCAGTCAGCTGCCAGTACAAGTGGTTAACCTCTTGCGCTGGAACGACGTGCCACGCACGGCGAGAATTCTTTGCACCAAAATTGCAATATATTCTCAAATATATTCTCAGTTTTAAGTATATTTCAGTATAACCCAGGCAAAACAAGTAATAAACTTATTATTTCTTAATAATTTCTATCTACAGTGATATCTTATCGACGAGTTCAAAAAGAAATGTGTTATTGTGTACGGTTTGGTCGCTCGTTATGGTCCGCAGTCAGTTGCCAGTACAAGTGGTTATCCTCTTGCGCTGGAATGACGTGCCACGCAAGTCGAGAATTTTTTGCTCCAAAATTGCAATATTTTCTCAGTTTTAAGTATATTTAAGTATAACTCGGGCAAAACAAATAATAAATTTATTACTTTTTAATAATTTCTATCCAGTGAAATACCGACGAGTTCGAAAAGAAAGCGACGTGTTATTGTGTACGGTTTGGTCGCTCGTTATGGTCCGCAGTCAGTTGCCAGTACAAGTGGTTAACCTCTTACGTCGAGAATTTTTTGTCCCAAAATAGCAATATTTTCTCAGTTTTAAGTATATTTAAATATAACTCGGGTAAAACAAATAATAAATTTATTGCTTTTCAATCATTTCTATCGAGTGATGTACCGATGAATTCAAAAAAGAAGACGAATTACTGTACACGGTTTGGTCACTCGTTATGGTCCGCGAACCAGTTACTAGTGCAAGGGGTTAACCTCTTTTGCGCTAGTAACTGGTTCGCGGATCATAACGCGTGACCAAACCGTGTACAGTAATTCGTCTTCTTTTTTGAATTCATCGGTATATCACTGGATAGAAATTATTGAGGAGTAATAAATTTATTATTTGTTTTGCCTTGGTTATAATTCAGTATACTTGAAACTGGGAAAGTATTGCAATTTTGGGCCAAATATTCTCGACGTGCGTGATTCCGGCGCAAGAGGTTAAGCGCCCGTCGCTATTCTCACCAGTTCTTAGAATTGGGACTGCAAGCAGTTCCCAGTTAAGTGTCCACTGTTCGGGACCATGGCTCTTAAGTGGGGAGGTGTATTCTGCGAATTGGCACCGTAGAAAAGAGAGGGGATAAGCGCCAGCTGTTGCATCGACACCAGACACGTGCAGCGGATTCCAGTATTGTTTACTACGTTATTTAATTTGTTGAAGAGACTGAAAATTTCAACATTTGATTTAAACTAAATGCATTTAAACTATTTTAAATTTGACACGTACGTACATTTAACCTGAGTGAAGCAATAGTTATCAAATGATTGTAGTTTAGCTAAGTGGGCACTACTGTACCAAATAAAGTAACCAAAATAACCTAACCCAAGTAACGACGTTCGCTTTTTTTCATCTAGCTCCGTTCAAGACTCCAAAAACCAAGCCTGCGGCAAATCGATCACCACCCGGCTCGAGGAAACGGAAAGCAACCGATGTCGCGGCTACCACGGACAACCCCTCGCCGGAGAAAAAATCGAAAAACGCGAAGAGAAGCTCGACGTCCTCCGACGACGCCTCCAGCTCGGGAAAAGAGACCTCGGAGAAGGGGCGAAAACGGAAGAAGACGACCAGAGACGATGCGTTCGAAGAGTTTCAGCGGGTCTGCCGGGACATTGCCAAGGTCGACGCCTACACCGACAAGACGGCCGTTTTGAGGAAGATGTTGGTCAACGGCTCCGAAGGCGGTGAGTTTTTGGACTCGTTTGCATTGCTGGATTTTTCCCAAAAACAGTGGTAGGATGTAGATGGAATATTAACGTAACTTTTTAACACTCGACCGTCTGTTCTGAGGGAACATGATATGTCATCTAGCCAACAGTACGGATTTCCTCTTTTCATAACTTGCTGGCAATTATATTAATGAAACGTTGTACGAAGAGAGAAGAATTTCAGAAGAAGAAATTTCTGAAGGCGTCCCCGAGTCAATTGACACTCCTTGGTATAATTCACATGAATTAGACTTCTTATTGCTTCTTGTGGAAGTTTAAACGATGGCGGATGATGTTACCAAGGAACCATAGGTCGCAGCCTGATGGTTCTCTTGAAAAATGGCAAGAAAGTTTCTTCTTCGTCATTTGACACTGCGGATACGTGCGTTCTAACAGCGACTTTACGGTTCTGGACGCGTTGATGTAATGTTTGCGTTTCAAATAATGTTAACAATTAGTCTTATTACTTGATTATTTAGACTCACACTGATGATAAAACCACAACTATGATAAATCAGAATACAGGCGAAATCTGATTAAGAACCATAAAGTCGCTGTTAGAACGCAGGCAATATTAAATGATTACGAAACTTTTTTGCCACTTTTCGAAAGTTTTACTGTTTAAGTTTTACTCTCGCGATGAGTCGAATATAAGTTGCAAGAAAGGGAGAAAAAGTTGTTTGACCTTGAAATTCAAGGAAGTATTTCCATCGAATCGAAGGTACAGTCATGGACAAACTTCTCTTTCCACCCTTCTTTCTCTCCACTAATTTCCACCAGTTTGTGTTTTTTCTTCTCTCTCACTCTCTCTCTCTCTCTCTCTCTCTCTCTCTCTGGTCGAACAGATACGAATTATCGAGGCCATTAATCAATCGACGGTGCAGATTCGTCCGGTAGTGGAAGATTTTTCCAGGGTTATCTGACTGGTTGGCTGGCGATCGTCAGAATCGTATCAGGGAGACGTCTCTCGACCGCGAGCGAGGAAACTCGGGTGGAAACGTCGCGGGTCGCCCCCCGTTTCGATCTGCGGTTGCGAATCGGTCGATCGGCCACATGACGCAACGCGCGAGCGACTTAACTTTTGACACAACGAGGCACGGTGGATCGAATTGCGCCTCCGAGTTGATTCCTCGGCTGCGTCACCAGCAAAACACTCGAGTAGCCGAGTGACTTCACCAGTTTATGGCAGTAAACTAGTTGCCGTTTCTCGTCTTATACTTGTATACCATTATTATTTCACCTGTACCAAACAACAATTGGCTGCGTACTCACCGCGATCGAAAGTTCCGCCGTTGACGATGCTGTTCCTCTTCTTCTAGATATTTCAACTGGTCGTCGGGCGTGATGATGACGGGGATGAAAATTGCTCAGGGGGTTTGCTCAGGTCTCCGTAGCGTCCAATTGCAAGAGATTATATACCGGTTATATACAAATATATTATTATTATTCACCGGCGCGACGGTGATCAGGCTCCCACTCGCCACTCGATCGTCAGGATTTTCCTTCCTGGCGGGAAGATGACGGATCGGTTTCTCGTACTTCGAGGTCCCCTGTGTTTGATCACTAGGTCGAGATCGGCAAAGAGATCGACGTCAACGAGTGGTGGTTGATGAGGAATCTCGGTGGAGATCAACTTTCTCTCTCTCTCTCTCTCTCTCTCTCTCTCTCTCTCTTTCTCTGTCTCTCTTTCAAGAAGCGTGCAGACCGTTAACCGCGTTAACCGTTTCGCGACTATTGGTCTGGTTGGCTCCGCTCTGCTGTCTTATAAGCTCAGCTGTCCCCACCTAATCAAGTTCGATTTGTAAACGCGATGTCGAGCCCCTTCTCGAGTAGCCAGCTTGGCTCCAGACGCTCACCCATTCTTCTCCCTCTTTCTCCACGCGTCTCCTTCCTCCCCCTCGTGCAGATAATCACTCTCTCTCTCTCTCTCTCTCCCTTCTCCCCTATCGCGTATTCACCTCCTCCTCCTCCTCCCTTCGACTCGTCTTTTCCCTCTTTCCTCGCGTTTTCCCTCAGCTTTTCCACAGATTTCGCTCTCTCGAACCGTCTGCTTTTCGGCACGGATGTGTTGGATCACGAATCGAGCAAACGTTGAGCGACGATGATTTCTTCGCGACCTTTCTACGAATGAAAAAAAAAACAACTATCCTCCTCCCCCCTGCCCTCGTTCGTTGGTTAAAACTACTGTCGAAAACGATGGTCGTTGGTCGTTGCTGAAAATTAAATGGAAGAGCGGCAGCAATTGGCTCGCGAGCAATTAACTCGTTCGTCGATAAGCCGGCGTCGCCTTTGATTTCGGGGGGTCAACGAAACGCGAAAACCTGACCTGCAAAAATCGTTTTCGACATCGGGACGAGTACTCGCGTACCAACGTTCCGTTTTTCGCCGTGTTTTTTTTTTTTTTTTTTCCTTTTTTTTCTTCTTTTTCTTTTCTCGACGAAAATATGCGGCTGAAACGGTGTTTACGCGGGCCACGATCGTCGCGTTATCTGCTCGATGCTTGATAAATCGAGCCGAAACCGGCGACTTGTTATTGTTTCAGGGGGGAATCGCGTGAATTTTTGTCTCGCGAGCACGAGCTCGTAATCGTAATGATGTAATCGTTTTCTCGCGCTCATGACTGGGCCAAGGGAAGGAACAAAATCAACTTTCTCGTTTCGAATGTTTCAAATTGTTTTTTTTTTTTTTTTTTGGTAATGCGTGCCGATTTCTAAACGTCACCTGGAAAGTGGAAAAACTAATGAATAAAATGATGATAATTTTAGTTGGAGCACAGACAAGCGAAGTTAGACGTTTCCGAAACATCGATTCTCGTCGAATGATTTGGTTCTTCCTCTTTGAAAAACTTTTGACTTTTTGACTTTTTGAACTACGTCAGGATTTTATATTACATTAAGTCATTTATATTTTTTAAATTGTTTTTTTTTTAAGGTACAAAAGCATTATCATCTACAATTTTAATAGGTTTATATTTTCCTATTATTCAAATATTTTTTGTATAAATGATAGAATTTATGAATCAATTTTTTTTTTTTTTCATCAACTGGATTTCATGGAATTCGTGTATTAATCGGGACATTAATATTAATTATTTCATTAATTCGAGTATATTATTTTCATATTTTCTTTAATTCATCATATTTTGAATTATCAATCTGATATTGACATTTTGTAGATAGCAAGTCAGATAAACTGTTGTAGATAAAGTTTTGTTAAGATTGTAAAGTCAGAAAAACTGTGTTTAATTTTTCACCCAGGAACTTTCTTCTATAAACGATGATCTTTCCTAATGAAAAAATCATACTTCCCATTGATCAATTATCGTGTACGACGTATTAATTTTAAAAATATCATAAACATTTTTCACAAACAATTTGACAAAAACAACATCTTTCAATTTAACTCGTTCTTCTTTTTTCAATTCTCTTGCATGGGTCATTAGCTACAATCTTACCGTCCATTATAAAAGGTTAGACTGTCTCAGAAGGTGTACTAGTTTCGATTTAAACGTCGCCACAAGTAAGTAATGTCGCTTTTTTTCCAAATTTCGTTCAATTTGAAAATAAAAAGGTTGCACAGTATCAGAAAACGACGTTATTTTCTACACTGGACGGTAACACGTACCGCTGTCTCTTCTTTTTCCCTCAATTCTGACCGTCTTCAATCTCTCCGCCAATCGTTGCGCAATCACAGAGAGAGAGATTTGGCGAACTCGGCGTCGCGATTGACCTCGACCACCCTCGCCGCACCCTCCTCCACCCACACACACTCTGCCTTCTTACTACTCGTTTCATTCGTCTCGAGTCCGAGAGCATCTCCCATCATTCATATTTTCCGCGAGAAATCGGCTGTCGATAAGATTAAGAACGCCATTGTGGGCTTCTTAATCTCCTACCTTACGGTTACAGTTTCTCGCCAAGTTGGCCAACCTGGGCAACTCGAGATCGAGGTCTAATTCGGTAAGCCATTCGGAATGCTGTGGAATCCGGGCCGGCGCCGGATAAACAACGCGGTTGGACAAACGTCCAACGCGGATGATTAAAGAATACCGGCATTGTACGCCTCGGCACACGGTGTACAACACGGCAGAGAAAATTAGGCGATCTGCGCCGTCCAGGATCGGAGCGCGATCGCTCTATTTTCGACGATGATGGGAAAGGCCGGTGGCGTTTTAATCCGCCACCGCGATGACGATGACGGTGGATGGGGAGGTGGCAGAGCAGGGGAGCAGGTTGGTTTTCGGTTTAGTTGCGTTTCCCTTCTTCACGCTTCGTTTCGTCCACGTGCCGGCTATAATCGTTGACCCGTTGTTCGCGCGCGCACACCGCGTTTTCTCGGAAAAGGGAAAACGCCCGGATTTTGCTGAAAATTACTATTAAGGATGCCCACGAGTAACGTCGTCTTTTTTTTTTTTTGACATTGTGGAAAATTTTATTTCATTCAAGAGTTAATACAGTTTCAAATTTTGATTTAATTTAACAATAATTTAATTTAACAATAGGCACGCTAAATTTCAATATATTTAAGTAGAATATAGGTTATGTTATAATTAGGTATACCCATGAATAATGTCGTTTCTTTAATACCGTAGAAAATTTTATTTCATTCAAGAGTCAATACTAATTTTCAATTCAAGAGTCAATATTTAATTTTTAATTTAATTTGACAATAGGCGCGCTAAATTTCAATATATTTAACTAGAATATAGGTTATGTTATAATTATGTATACCCATGAATAATGTCGTTTTTTTAATACTGTAGAAAATTTTATTTCATTCAAGAGTCAATACTAATTTTCAATTCAAGAGTCAATATTTAATTTTTAATTTAATTTGACAATAGGCGCGCTAAATTTTAATATATTTAACTAGAATATAGGTTATGTTATAATTAGGTGTAACCATGAGTAATGTCGTTTTTTTTGATACTGTAAAAAATTTTATTTCATTCAAGAGTCAATACAGTTTCAATGTATAATTTAATCTAACAGTAAACTACTAACTAAATTTTAATATATTTAACTAGAATATAGGTTATGTCATAATAAATTATTGTCACTGGATGGTATTGTTTCAAATTTGAGAAAAACGACATTACCTATGGATACTCCTAATTTGTATGAGCAAGTACACGTGTTCTCCATTCAAATTCCTATTCGAACAATAACTATTAAGGGTGTTCACAAGTAATTTTTTTTTTTTTTTTTTTTTTTTGGCACTGTAGAAAATTTTATTTCATTCAAGAGTCAATACAGTTTCAATATATAATTTAACAGTAAGCTACCAACTAAATGTTAATATGTTTAACTAGTGTATAGGTTATGTTACAGTAGGTTAATAATATATTTAACTAGAGTATAGGTTATGTTATGATAAGTTAAATTATTGTCACTAAATATTTATTAAATTGAAGAAAACGACATTACTTATGAGTACTGGCAACACATCCCATTCTTACGAATACTCGATCATCACCCGGTGCGGGTGATTTTGATCGACGTTGTTTGGACCATCACTCAACACGCACGCAGTTGAGCGATTTTCGATCTCGGTGGAGGGGTAGTTACTTTCGTTGGTCGCGTTCCCTTCTTCACACCATGTGCCAGCTTTTATCGTTTATCCGTACACGAAGAATACATAAACAAATTCCCTGGATTGTAAAAAATTGGAATCCTTTCGCAGAATTTCACGTGTTAGTGAATTCTCAGCTCGTTCGAAGAGTGCGACGAGTCGAATCCAAGCTTTCTCTAGATTCTACTGATTGGCTAAAGAAAAACAAAAACCAAAAAAAAAGAAAAAAAATGAAAAGAAAGAGAAAGCTTGAAAAGTGCAAAAATACTTGTTGTTGTTTCTTTCGAGTTCAACAACCGGAACGGCGGATAGCCGAGAGAAAAATTCGGAAGCGTTTCGCGAAGAGAAAAGAAGAGAAGCCGTGGGGGAAGAAAAATGAAAGAAAAAACACAGAGGAGAGAGTATTTACTTTATTTGCCAAAGGGGGGGGGGGGCGAATAAAAGCGTCTATCTGCAATAACTTTCTCGCCCTCCTTCTCCCGTAAATCGTGGAGAATCTCATTGAAGCGAAACCGCGTTATCGCCCGTCCGCGGAAACTACACTTTGTACGAGCGCGTTCGTGGTGTATCGTCGGTGACCTCTTCGTATCGTTCCCGCGGTTTTCTTCGTTCGCCGATCGATCATTAATTACCGCGCTCCTCCTCTAATCAGCCAGAGGCGATGAAGTCACCTCCGCTTTTGCCAGTGAGCGAGAGCATTGATTCGCCTCCGTTCGTTGACTAACAACCATGGACCTTGCTACTATCTCGACGATATCTCAGAGAAGAAGAAAGAAAGGAAGTAAAAA